CACCGCCGCTGGCACTGCCCAGTAGTGTCACAAGCCTCCTCCACAGATGCCAATGTTGACACTTGCTGTTGCCGTCATTGGCAAGTCACTCCACTAATGAACCAAAATAGTACGACGACAAAAACACAAGACAAAGATCCCCCGTATAGCCGTCACAGACTGCTGGGGCAAGTGCTGTTAGCAAGTAGCAGCACATGTGAAGGCCGGCACTGTGGCACACGAGGGCGTGGGTGGCCAGCACCACCACCCGGCCGCCTTTGTCTCCCCAGTGGCGATGTTTGCACACCGCACCAGGAACTCATTTTGAGGCCGAGTCGACCTAGGGGAGGCCCAGGACCGAGCGGGAACCGAACTCGGGTCGCTGGGTTCGCCGTGCGGCGCGCTAACCACTGCGCCACCGCTCCCCACCACAAAGCAACAAGACACACCCACACGCACGCGCGCACACAGAGGCTCGCTTAACACGTGGTACTGCTCAGCTTGTGGAAACTCACACTGATTGTTTAAGTTTTTTTTCCAGGGCAGGGCGTATTCTCTGGAGAGCAGTGACATAACGGAACTCGCAAGCGCAGACGGGATGGGAGTTGCGTGTGTGTGTGTACGTGTGTATGTATGTGCGTGTATGTGTGTGTGTGTATGTGTGTAACCAGGCTGGATTGTGAGGAGCTCACAAATGCTTGAAAGATCTGGAGAAGGTCCCATCGGTGTTTCTCCTCCGGCAGGCAAGGCTGCGTTGGCTGGGTCATGTAGCCCGCATGCCCAGCCACCGCATGCCGAAACAGCTTTCGTTCGGCCGGATCGAGGGGGCTAAACGGGCGCGGCACGGGCTAGAGAAGAGATGGAGTGATGTGGTACAGGAGGACGTGGAGCTGAGTGGACTTGCCGATGACTGGTACCAGCGGTGTCAAGATCGGCCTCTGTGGAAGAGGCTCGTGAAGGACGCTACTGGGCAGTTGGAGGCAGTCGCCCTCCCACAACAACGGAGGGCGGAGGAGCGACGCTAACAACAACAAGCGGAGCGCCGGGTGGATAAAGCACAGCAGGTTGGCACAGTAGGGGGCACAGGTGGTGCATCAGCCAGTCATCTCAGTCATCTTAGTCAGCCGACCCGTGGCAATTAGGTCTGCCCCGTGACCTCCTGCCAGCGGGCGTTCGACACTTCACGTGGCCTCAAAGCGCACATGGCCTGGCACAAGCGTCGTGGTGACGTCACCGCCACTTAGTGGCGAATGGCGGTTGTTGTGTGTGTGTATGTGTGTGTATGTGTGTATGTGTATGTGTGTGGGTATGTGTGTGGGAGTGGAGAGCGGTGGTGTAGCGGTAAGCGCTACGCTGCACTACGAAACCTGGCGACCCGAGATCAATTCCTGCTCACGGTCAAGGCCGGTGACGATTATCTGAACCGGCCCTGGGTCTCCCCTAGGTCGACTCGGCCTCAAATGAGTACCCGGTGCGGTGTGCAAACAAAGGCGGCCGGGTGGTGGTGCTGGCCACCCACCCAACTCGTGTGCCGTGCCGGCCTTCACAGGTGCTGCTCGCTAATAGCACTTGCCCCATTAGTGTGTTGGGATTTCACGGGGGGAAGATCTTTGTCTTGTGCGTTGCAGGAGTTCTCTTGGCTCCTGATGTGGCACAGTGCTCAGCGCACCGCGTTACGAACCAGTTCTCTGTCTAGGCCGTCACCGCACCCAAGTCGCCCGGCGTTGCTCATGGTTAGCGTGCTGCTGGCGACAGCGGCCTCGGAGCCGCCGTGGTTGATAGTGGCCATGAGACTACACAGGGGAGCTGTGTGGGTGTGTGCTGGGTGTGCTGGGTGGAGAGTGGCACGATTTGGGGTGGGGGGGGGGTGAAGTCATAAGGCAGTTCCAGGGCTCAGCGATTGTCTTTGTGTGCGAGTGTCTTTGTGGAGAGCGGTGGTGCAGCGGTTAGCGCTACGCTGGCGCTACGAACCCTGGCCACCCGGGTTCGATTCCCGCTCACGGCCACCAACACCGGTGACGATTATCTGAATCTGTCCTGGGCATCCCCTAGGTCGACTCGGCCTCAAATGAGTACCTGGTACGGTGAGTTAACCTCGTCACTGGGGAGACAAAGGCGGCCGGGTGTGGTGCTGGCTACCCACCCCCTCGTGTGCCGTGCCGGCCTTCATAGGTGCTGCTCGCTAACAGCACTTGCCCCTACAGTCTGTTAAGGCTACACGGGGGATCTTTGTCTTTTGGTGGAGAGTGGCAGGATGGGGGTGGTGAAGTCATTGGCAGTTACAGGCCTCGTGTGTGTGCGTGTACGTCTGCACGTGTGTGCGTGTGTGCGTGCGAGATTATAAGACCCATTGGCTCAACAGCGAGCCGTAGACTTGTATCGAGACCCCTAAACTCACACAAAACCCTTTACATGAAAATCAATAGACTCACAAAGATACCCGTAAATACGCATCGAGACCCCTAAAACTCAGACAAAGCCCTTCACATAGACTTACATGAAAACCAATAGACTCACAGAGATACCCGTGGACTCGCATCGAGATCCACAGATGCAGAGACCCAAATGGTCACATATATACCCGTAAACTCAGAGATTGAAAACTAATTTCTTTAGAACTCATTTAAGTGTTAAGTGTTGTTGTCCTTCACCCCGCACCTCCGATTAGCACGGTTGGCTACGTACGGTGCGAAATAAGTTCAACATACACAAATTCAAGCAGAAACCCCATAACATCGCCTTACACACAGACCCACAGATTCGCATTTGACCTCATACGGACCCCCATGGACTCACATCGAGACCCATGGACTCACATCGGGACCCATGGACTCACATCGAGACCCATGGACTCACATCGGGACCCATGAACTCACATCGAGACCCATGGACTCACATCGAGACCCATGGACTCACATCGAGACCCATGGACTCACATCGAGACCCATGGACTCACATCGGGTCCCATGGACTCACATCGAGACCCATGGACTCACATCGAGACCCATGGACTCACATCGAGACCCATGGACTCACATCGAGACCCATGGACTCACATCGAGACCCAAGGACTCACATCGAGACCTATGGACTCACATCAGGACCCATGGACTCACATTGAGACCCATGAACTCACATGGAGACCCATGGACTCACATCGAGACCCATGGACTCACATCGAGACCCATGGACTCACATCGAGACCCAAGGACTCACATCGAGACCTATGGACTCACATCAGGACCCATGGACTCACATTGAGACCCATGAACTCACATGGAGACCCATGGACTCACATCGAGACCCATGGACTCACATCGAGACCCATGGACTCACATCGAGACCCATGGACTCACATCGAGACCCATGGACTCACATCGAGACCCATGGACTCACATCGAGACCCATGGACTCACATCAAGACCCATGGACTCACATCAGGACCCATGGACTCACATCGAGACCCATGGACTCACATCGAGACCCATGTACTCACATCGAGACCCATGGACTCACATCGGGACCCATGGACTCACATCGAGATCCATGGACTCACATCAAGACCCATGGACTCACATCGAGACCCATGGACTCACATCGAGACCCATGGACTCACATCGAGACCCATGGACTCACATGGAGACCCATGGACTCACATCGAGACCCATGGACTCACATCGAGACCCATGTACTCACATCGAGACCCATGGACTCACACCGGGACCCATGGACTCACATCGAGATCCATGGACTCACATCAAGACCCATGGACTCACATCGAGACCCATGGACTCACATCGAGACCCATGGACTCACATCGAGACCCATGGACTCACATCGAGACCCATGGACTGACATCGAGACCCATGGACTGACATCGGGACCCATAAACTCACATCGAGACCCATGGACTCACATCGAGACCCATGGACTGACATCGGGACCCATAAACTCACATCGAGACCTATGGACTCACATCAGGACCCATGGACTCACATCGAGACCCATGGACTCACATCGAGACCCATGGACTCACATCGAGACCCATGGACTCACATCGAGACCCATGGACTCACATCGAGACCCATGGACTCACATCGAGACCCATCGGCTTTACACGGAAAGGGAGAGCAGCACCCACCACAACACTTGATCATCGTGATGCCACCTTTCACTCCCATAACCCCCCGCCCCCCTGCCCGACATCCAGTCGGGTAATCGGGCACGGCTTGCCGCTGTAATCTCGCCCTAATCTCACGTCGCCGTTTATTCTTAGGTGGAGCCGCCCAACGCCGCACCCAGCCAGGGAACACACCGGAGCACCGTGAGCGCACACACGCGCACACATACACACACACACACGCACACGCGCGCACACACACACACACACGCACACACACACACACACGCACACGCGCACACGCGCGCACACACACACACGTGCACACACGCGCACACACGCGCGCACGCGCACGTGCACGGCATCTTACCACGGGACGTGAACTACATCAATCAATGAATGAGAGGTCGAATGAATGAATGAATGGTTGTAGCGAGTCGGTGCGTGGTTAGGGTCGTTTTAACATTAATTGTATTCATGAACGAATGGGGCGGGGGGGGGTGAATGAAGAAATGAGAGTGTGCACGACGGGGTGTTTCTACGCGAATGATATTCATGAACGAACGAATGGGGTGTTTTTACAGGATGTCAAAAGAACAGGTCTAACTCGGACGTAAACAACTGTGGTTGGTGTCCCAGGAGCATCGACGCTGACCCCCAGCCTCAACGCTGACACAGGGCCTCAACATGATTAAGATGATGCTCATGATGGTGACAGTGGTGATTCTTCTATTGATAGTGGTGATTCTTCTAATGATGGTGGTGGTGGTGGTGATGATACTGATGATGATGAAGCCGACGATGAAGCCGACGATGCCGATGCCCAGCGGTGCGAGGGAGGGTTGGGGTGAAGGAGGGGGCGGAGATGGGTCATTGGCTGACCACACACACAGCTCCTTACATGGCGTTCCGTGGCACGCAGACTCGTGAGGGTGCAGCTGTTGGGAGAAATATCTCCTGGGGTGCTGTCTCCACCTCGTCCTGGCTCTCCTCCTCCTCCTTCTTCACGCCTCTCCTCTCGTCTCCATCTCGAGCTCGTCTCGCACCTTTCCTCCCTGTCGAGCAACAGATTTGTGTACAACGTTGTTGCTACATTCGTTTTGAGATTTAAATACGGGGTTTTTTTTCCCCATTCTTTTAAACCGAAATTGAAAACTCACTTTTATCCAACTGCTTTTTTTGCGCTTAGTTAAGTTGGCCATCCCCCACGCCTCCGATTAGCGCGGTTGGCTCCGTATGGTGCGAAAGAAGTTCAACGTGCAGGCGGACCGCTTTCGTGAGTCCGCTCGGTTCACCCAGGAAAAGCGTCGCCGAGTCTCGGGACTCATGTTCAGGAGGGTCCTGCCAGGTCTTCAGGGTCGGGGGTGATGTAGCCGTTGCTGCGTGTGAACCCAATTGAGCCATCTGCAGCGTAATTTCATTGCAGCATTGGGATATGGCTTTGGCCAATACCGGTTACGTTGTATGGGGTGGGGGGAGGTTTAGCTATGGGAGGAAACCAGAGAACATGGAAGAGACCCGTGCAGAACAGTGGGAGAGAGAATACAAACTCCACTCACTTACACAAAGATCCCCTATACAGTCTTTAACAGACTGTTGGGGCAAGTGCTGTTCGCGAGCAGCACCTATTAATGGCGACACGGCACACGAGGGGGTGGGTGGCCAGCACCACACTCGGCCGCCTTTGTCTCCCCAGTGGCGATGTTTACTACACACCGCACCAGCTACTCATTTGAGACCTAAGGGAGGATGACACATAGACACTCACTCACCCACCCACTCACCCGTCCACCCACCGACTCACCACACACTCACACACTCACCACACTGCAGGCCACAATAATAACACTCACCCACCCACTCACTAATCCACACTCAACCACCCACCCACACACCACACTGCAGGTCACAACACAACTCACCCACACACTCACTACACACTTACCCACCCACTCACCACACACTCACCACACTGCAGGCCACAATAATAACACACTCACTCACCCACACACTCACCACACACTCACCCACCCACCACACTGCAGGCCACAATAACACACACTCACCCACCCACTCACCACACTGCAAGTCACAACACAACTCACGCACACACTCACCACACACTCACCCACCCACCCACTCACCACACTGCAGGCCACAATAATAACACACTCACTCACCCACACACTCACCACACTGCAGGCCACAATAACACACTCACCCACACACTCACCCACTCACCACACTGCAGGTCACAACACAACTCACCCACACACTCACCACACTGCAGGTCACATAACACACACACTCACTCACCCACCCACTCACCACACACTCACTCACACACACTCACCCACACACTCACCCACACACTCACCCACACACTCACCCAACCACCAACTCACCACACACTCACTCACCCACACACTCACCACACCGCAGGCCACAATAACACACTCACCCACACACTCACCACCCACTCACCCACCCACTCACCACACTGCAGGTCACAACACAACTCACCCACACACTCACCACACACTCACCCACCCACCCACCACACACTCACCCACCCACACACCACACACTCACCCACCCACCCACTCACCACACTGCAGGCCACAATAACACACTCACCCACACACTCACCCACCCACCCACTCACCACACTGCAGGTCACAACACAACTCACCCACCCACTCACCACACACTCACCCACCCCACCCACTCACCACACTGTAGGCCACATATAATACACTCACCCACTCACTCACCACACTGCAGGTCACACAATAACACACTCACCCACACTGCAGATCACACAATAACACTCACCCACTCACTCACCACACTGCAGACCACAATAATACACTCACCCACACACTCACCACACTGCAGGTCACACAATAACACACTCACCCACACACTCACCACACTGCAGACCACAATAATACACTCACCCACTCACTCACCACACTGCAGACCACAATAATACACTCACCACACTGCAGGCCACAATAATACACTCACCCACACACTCACCACCCACCCACACACTCACCCACACACTCACCACCCACCCACTCACCCACACACTCACCACACTGCAGGTCACACAATAACACAGTCACCCACACACTCACCACCCACCCACTCACTCACCCAGACACTCACCACCCACCCACACACTCACCACACTGCAGGCCACAATAATACACTCACCCACACACTCACCACCCACCCACTCACCCACCACACTGCAGATCACACAATAACACACTCACTCACCACACTGCAGGCCACAATAATACACTCACCCACACACTCACCACACTGCAGGCCACAATAATACACTCACCCACACACTACCACCCACACACTCACCACCCACCCACCCACTCACCCACTCACTCACCACACTGCAGGTCACACAATAACACACTCACCACTCACCCACACACTCACCACACTGCAGGCCACAATAATACACTCACCCACACACTCACCACCCACCCACTCACCCACATACTCACCACACTGCAGGTCACACAATAACACACTCACCACCCACCCACTCACCCACCACACTGCAGGTCACACAATAACACACTCACCCACACACTCACTCACCCACTCACTCACCACACTGCAGGTCACACAATAACACACTCACCCACTCACTCACTCACCCACCACACGAGGTCACACAATAACACACTCACCCACACACTCACCACACTGCAGGTCACACAATAACACACTCACCCACACACTCACTCACCCACTCACCCACCACACGAGGTCACACAATAACACACTCACCCACTCACTCACCCACCACACGAGGTCACACAATAACACACTCACCCACACACTCACCACACTGCAGGTCACACAATAACACACTCACCCACTCACTCACCCACCACACGAGGTCACACAATAACACACTCACCCACACACTCACCACACTGCAGGTCACACAATAACACACTCACCCACACACTCACTCACCCACCACACTGCAGGTCACACAATAACACACTCACCCACACACTCACCACACTGCAGGTCACACAATAACACACTCACCCACCCACCCACTCACCACACTGCAGGTCACACAATAACACTCACCCACACACTCACCACCCACCCACTCACCCACTCACTCACCACACTGCATGTCACACAATAACACACTCACCACCCACCCACTCACTCACCACACTGCAGGTCACACAATAACACACTCACCCACACACTCACTCACCCACCACACGAGGTCACCACACTGCAGGTCACACAATAACACACCCACTCATTCACTCACTCACTCACCCACCACACGAGGTCACCACACTGCAGGTCACACAATAACACACCCACTCATTCACTCACTCACCCACCACACGAGGTCACCTCACTCCTCTTCCTTCTTCCAGCTCGCACTGCCTCCACTCTGGAATCTCCTCCCATGCTGCTCTCGTTATAATAATAAATCACATTGTTCAAACCGTGCCTGCTAAAATAAATAAAATAGTTGTAATAGTTTTAAGTCAACGGGAGTGTATTGACTCGCTCCATTAGAATAATGAGAACTTCAATCGTGCTGTGCGTTGATAGAGAAATGTTAACTACCTCGTCTGGTACACAGGAGGTCGTGGGTTCGATCCCAGCCCTGACGCCTGCTGCTGTATATTTGGAGTTTGCGTGTCTCTCTCATCATCATCACGGTGGCTAAGAGATGTTAACTACCTCGCCTGGTATACAGGAGGTCGTGGGTTCGATCCCGACCCTGACGCCTGCTGCTGTATATTTGGAGTTTGCGTGTCTCTCTCTCCGTGGTCGCGTGGATTTTTCTCCCGAGTCCTCCGGTTTTCCCCTCCACATTTAGAATGAACGTCACCACGCGTTTGGAGTATTTGGCGACTGCTGTACACGTGACGACGACGATGATGATGATAAGCCAACTTCGTTGAGCCAACAATGGTGTAATGATGGCCAGGTCGTTTCTCCATAAGAACCACACAGCTCAGTAGTTGGAGCCTTACCTAGTAAAATAAAATAAAAAAATTGTTTAAATAGTATCGACCATCCTTGCCTCGTCGATTACCGAGACCGAAGGGAACGCAGATAAGCTGCTGGTCTGGTCACAACAGACCCTGTGGCGACAATGGTCAATAATTCACGACTCACGCTGTAGAGCCGAACGTGGCATCATAGGCGACGTTTCGGGCAATGGCCCCCGTGAAGGCTTAACAGAGCCGTAGGGGCAAGTGCTGTTAGCGAGCAGCACCTATGAAGGCCGGCACGGCACACGAGGGGGTGGGTGGCCAGCACCACGCCCGACCGCCTTTGTCTCCCCAGTGACAATGTTTACAACACATGTTTACAACACACCGCTACACCAGGTACTCATTTGAGGCCGAGTCGACCTAGGGGGAGGCTGAGGACCGGTTCAGATAATCGTCGCTGGTGGCGTTCACCGTGAGCGGGAATCGAATCTCGGGCCGCCGGGTTCGTAGCGCAGCGTGGACCTAACCACTACGCCACCGCTCCCCACAAAATCTCGTTGTACCGTACTCCCATGCTCCCCACGTCTGTGCAACCGCTCGCTCTCCCCGGCCATCAACACCAGCGTGGTGAAGTATGGCCAAATCACCGGGACCACGCCACTCCCACCCGTACAGCCAATATTTACCGGAGGGGAGGAGTGGGGAGTCTCTTATCCAGCAGTGGATTGACAGAGGCCGCAAGGGAGTCGCCTAAGTCGTGACCATCTCTCAGCATGCAACGCCTACCCACCCTACTCTCATCAGCCTCCATGCGTCTCTTTTACTGGACGTCTGTGAGGGGTGGAGGGGGGGGAGAGCTTCATAGCTCATCAGATTCCTCCTGCAGTCTAAATAAAGATGCTGTCTCACCCTCTCTCTCTCTGACTGAAACTGTTCCCAAAGCAAAACCAGATGGAACATCAACAACACGGACGCGCTCGAACATCCACCAACATCACCACCAACATCACCATCATCACCACCAACATCACCACCATCATCATCACCGCCACCACCATCATCAGCAGCTTCAAAATGAGCCTCCACTCCATCATCATCATCCTTTTCACGATGGTTGTGGTGGTGGTGATGATGCTGCTTACGTAGCTGATGGTGATGATGGTGGTGGTGGTAGTGTGAGGCTGGTGGTGATGGTGGTGAGGGTGGTGGTAAGGCTGGTGGTGATGGTGGTGAGGGTGGTGGTGAGGCTGCTGAGGCTGGTGGTGATGGTAGTCGTGGTGATCTGGTGAGGCTGGTGATGATGATGATGGTGGTGGTGATGCTGATGGTGGTGATTAGTGGTGATGCTGATGGTGATTAGTGGTGATGCTGATGATGATGGTGGTTAGGCTGGTGATGATGGTGGTGAGGCTGGTGATGATGGTGGTGGTGATGGTGGTGATGATGGTGGTGATTAGTGGTGATGCTGATGGTGGTGATTAGTGGTGATGCTGATGGTGGTGATTAGTGGTGATGCTGATGATGATGGTGGTTAGGCTGGTGATGATGGTGGTGAGGCTGGTGATGATGGTGGTGGTGATGGTGGTGATGATGGTGGTGATTAGTGGTGATGCTGATGGTGGTGATTAGTGGTGATGCTGATGATGATGGTGGTTAGGCTGGTGATGATGGTGGTGAGGCTGGTGATGGTGGTGGTGATGGTGGTAGTGATGGTGGTAGTTAGGCTGGTGATGATGTTGGTGGTGATGATGGTGGTGGTGATGATGGTGGTGGTGATGATGGTGGTGGTGATGGTGGTAGTTAGGCTGGTGATGATGTTGGTGAGGCTGGTGGTGATGGTAGTGGTGATGGTAGTGATGGTGTTGGCGAGGCTGGTGGTGATGGTAGTGGTGATGATGGTAGTGATTACGGTGGTGATGGTGATAGTCGTGATGATGGTGATAGAGAATACGGTGGTGGTCGTAATGCTGTCGTTAATGATGATGCAAGCGATGATGGTGATGATGATGGTTGCTTCTGCTGCTGCTGGTAACCACGACAGTGACGGTGGCGATGCAATCAGAAGTCGCCACGGACACGCAAACAACAACAACAACATAATCACGCCGCATGCCAAACAACATCACAAACACGTGGGTGGACTTGACGAACGTACGCTCCAGAATCCAGCTTCACAAGCCCAAGAAATCCATTGCAGACGCAGAGGACGACAGCACCCAGCGTGGTGATGATGATGATGCTGCTGCTGATTCCGCTGCTGCTGATGATGCTGCTGCTGCTGATGCCGCTGCTGCTGCTGATGGTGATACTGCTGCTGCTGATGATGATGCTGCTGATGGTGATGCTTCTACTGATGATGATGCTGATGATGATGCTGATGCTGCTGATGGTGATGCTGCTGCTGATGATGCCGCTGCTGCTGATGATGTTGCCGCTGCTGATGATGCCGCTGCTGATGATGTTGCCGCTGCTGATGATGATGCTGATGATGCTGCTGCTGGACCAATCACGTCCCCGACGAGTCTTGCCGAGGTGCGCGTCTGCTCATCCGATCAGTAAACTCTCGACAGCTGCGACAAAATAATCTGGGCGCTCCGGCAAACAAAAGAATCTGGGCGAGCTAGCGCCGCATCGGCTGCCAGGGTATAAGGCGACTGTCTTGAGCGTGCATTGTGGAGGAAGGGAATACCGGAGAGAGAGAGGAGAGGAGAGAGAGGGGGGAGGAGGAGAGAGAGAGTGGAGAGAGCGGAGAAGGAGAAAGAGGAGGATAGAGCGGAGGAGAGAGAGAGAGGGTGATGAGAGGGAGTAGGAGAGAGCGGAGGAGGAGAGGGGGAGGAGAGAGGAGGAGAGAGTGGAGGAGAGAGAGTGGAGAGAGCGGAGAAGGATAGAGCGGAGGAGGAGAGAGAGGGGGAGGAGAGGGAGGAGAGAGGGAGGAGAGGGGGAGGAGAGATGGGGAGGAGAGAGGGGGAGGAGAGAGGAGGAAAAAGAGAGAGAAGGAGGCATGGGATTTTGATTGGCGTCCCAAGCCACTCATAAGAGGTCTGGGATTTGTTTTCTCTGCGGTGGTGCAGTGTGGGGGAGGGGGGATGCGTTGGGGATGAGGAATCGAATCCTCGGGCCTTCGATTTACCATTCATAAAATGTAAATGGAATCGATCCCCGGTATCATTGCGCTGATTCCATGAAAATCGCTGTTTTGTAGCCGTACTGGAGGAATCTGATGAGCTATAAAGCTCTTCCCCACCCACACACACACATCCAGTCAGGGTGGGTCAGAACGTTACAACAACAAACAATACAACAAACACGATCTGAGTGCAACATAGAGGAAACGTCAACAAATCACTTTTTAAAAAATACAAATGTAACTAAACTAAGATTTTGTTTTAATCCTACCAGGTAAAGTCCACCGAGCTGTTAACTTTTATCTTTCAGAAGCGACTGGGCCACAAAGGACAGCTCTAAGTGGCTTATCAACAGATTCCTCCAATCTCAACACACGGTCTGACTCTGGGTAGTTCGCAAATGGAGTTTGTGTGCAGTGTGCAGTGTGTTGGACTTCTTTCGCACCGTACGTAGCCTACCGTGACAATCGGAGACGCAGTGTTGAGTCTATGGGTAGTCTATGGGTAGTGTTAGTCTATGGGTAGTGTTGAGTCTATGGGTAGTCTATGGGTAGTGTTGAGTCTATGGGTAGTGTTGAGTCTATGGGTAGTGTGAGTCTATGGGTAGTGTTGAGTCTATGTGTAGTGTTAGTCTATGGGCAGTGTTGAGTCTATGTGTAGTGTTAGTCTATGGGCAGTGTCAGTCTATGTGCAGTGTCAGTCTATGTGCAGTGTTAGTCTATGTGCAGTGTTAGTCTATGGGTAGTGTTAGTCTATGTGCAGTGTTAGTCTATGTGCAGTGTTAGTCTATGTGCAGTGTTAGTCTATGTGCAGTGTTAGTCTATGTGCAGTGTTAGTCTATGTGCAGTGTGTGTGTTGAACTTCTTTCGCACCGTACGTAGCCTACCGTGCCAATCGGAGGTGCGGGGAGATGGAACTTCGCAGCCAGGGGAAGATGGAGCAACGAAAATCAGTTCACGTGCACGCGCTGGATTGGTTGCATCGCAAGGATCGTGAGAGATGTGGGCTGCCTGCAGTGGATCGATCACGGCTGACGACGACGATCATGATAATGTTGAAATGCACTCACTGATTGCTAAATTTCTGCAGTGTAGCCGATTTCTAGGAATCGTGTGCCAACCGGCCCGGAATCGATTCCTCCCCACATCACTCTCACAGAGGGATGGGGGAGGGATACAGCGGAAAGGGACTGTACCATTACGGGTTAAACACGGGGGGGGGGAGAGATCATTCGGCTTGACACAGACCGGGTTGGCGGGGGGGGGATTACACATGTCGAGTTGATAGCGTTACCATCGGGTCAAGGGATTCCCCCCATGGGTGTAATGGTACAGCCCACAAGCCCATTGAGATTTGCCCATGAGTTCAGGCAGATGTGTGTGCCCTGTACATGTGGCTACAGCGTACGCCTCGATAATAACGTGACTACGAAGTGACTATCGCTCTGGCCATGGCTCTCTTTGGTCTTCTTTCGTGCGGTTCTGCATTGATGCAGAGCAACAACTCAGGTGCTGGAGTCGGAGAGGCCAGGTTCCAGGAGTTTCGCTGCGATTGTCGGAGCTATTTGCTAATTGTATTCTACAGCTCTCATAAATAGCCATTGCAATGACGGGCTGTAATCTCCTGATTATAAGACTCTCCCTCCCAATAGTGGGACGCCATAAATGACGTCACACACCTATAGGGGGGATCAATTTGTGACGCTGTATGACGAGAGGGGGAGGGGGGGGGTTGAGAAATGTGACGTCACATCAAAATGCGCAACTTTAAATAAATATAAAGAATAGAATTGTTAAAACAACACTCATTTTGATTAATTTTCATTATTAATTAAATTTACTGAGGTCACTATTACATGAAGGAGCATTTTGCTTCTCCATGGGAGAATGGATAAGCATAAACTTTGTAAAAAAATTATGATTGTTATTAAACATTTTTATTTTAATGATTCCAACCAGGGCTTTTCATTCTGTGGAATAAATATGTGATTGTTATAATTGTACTCTCCATTTTGCTTCGTTCTACTACAAAGTTTCATGTATTTTTTTATATATTAGTGGTTCTTTCGGTATAGTCACGTAGAAGGGAAACAATAAAATAATAAAAATATAAAACAATAAAATTATCACGACGTTTCGACTGCAACACAAGCAATCATCATCAGGTGTGAAAACCACCAAGTACATCAGGTTTTCACACCTGATGATGATTGCTTGTGTTGCAGTCGAAACGTCGTGATAATTTTATTGTTTTAGATTTTTATTATTTTATTGTTTCCCATCTACGTGACTTTACCGAAAGAACTAAGAATATGAATCCCTGCAGTCACGAAAGCTTTAAATCAATATTTTTTATTATAGTTATAATTACTTTTAATATTGTATCATTGTAATAGAATTTCAATATAATATTCTGAACATCTACAGTTTTAGTTAGACGTTGAATATTTTCAAGTGAATTTTATGCTAAATTTCAGATTTCCAACGCCTTTTTAATACATGTTTTCTCCTACAACATCAGAGTGCAGCGCCACATTAAATACGCACTACAATGACAATAGTTTAAAGCGATTTGAAGCATGTTTTATTTTCAAAATGGAAATATGGCTTGGGGGGGGGCAGAGCTTTGTGACGTCATATTTGAGGGGGGTCTGACTTTTTGTGACGCCGTGTGACGAGGGGGGAGGGGGGGGTCAAAAATCGGCCAGGGTCAACGGCGGCACCACGTGGTGTATTCCATAAATATTCCCGATTGTGAGGGCGGGCACAAGTCGGCGTGAGTAGGTTACACGTTGAGTTTTATAAGGGCACCACGGGGTGACCAGCCCCTCCCCACCCAGCCCCACCCCTCCCACCCCCCACCCAGCCCCTCCCCACCCAGCCCCACCCTCCCAACCCAGCCCCTCCCGACCCTCCCCAACCAGCCCCTCCCCACCAAGCCCCTCCCTCCCCACCCAGCCCCTCCCTCCCCACCCAGCCCCTCCCCACCTAGCCCCTCCCCACCCAGCCCCTCCCCACCCTCCCCTCCCCACTCAGCCCCTCCCTCCCCACCCCCACCCAGCCCCTCCCCACCCAGCCCCACCCTCCCCCACCCAGCCCCTCCCCACCTTCCCCTCTCCACCCAGTCCCTCCCTCCCCACCCTCCCCTCCCCACCCAGCCCCTCCCCACCCAGCCCCTCCCTACCCAGCCCCACCCCTCCCATTTTTGGATGCACGACGGACGGACACAACAATCCCCTGTGGGCTGGTGGTGTAACCAGGAGGTTCCTACCAGTCACATGTTTGTGCGTCGTGTTATTCAGAAACCCTTCAAAATGTATTATTGCGGGTTTTTTTCCCCGTTTGACAAAGCCTTAAACACCAATTACAGTTAAAGCGAGAACCATTGTTCTGTCTTTCATTGTTTTTGAGATATTACGGATTCAAGCGGTTTTGCACGAAAACAAATCCGCATTTGATGATGTTGACATCTGAATAATTCGAAAACGGCAAATATAGCAGAGCTTGCCCTCATAGACTATTAAGCTCATTCATTTATGTTATTTTTAATAAACAAAAAAGAGATTGGAATTTTTTTAAATTGAGCGGTTTCCGATGGTTTCGTCTTTAAATGTAAGAAGAAGTTGAATTAAATCGTCAACAATTATTGTGGTGTTTTTTTTTACGGAAAAAAATAAAAAATATATAGCGATGGTCGTGAAGTGGCCTTCAACGTTGATACAGATTGTAACAAAAAATCATAGGTTAATTATAATATTTCTTTAAAACTTTTGCCTGGCGAAGACAGCCCTTTATGAACTAGTATTACTATATGTTTTTTTCCTTTAAAGGCAACGAGGTTAATTGGAGATTGTGTAAATCTTATTTATTAACATTTAAAAATTGAGCACTTTGATCTGCATCAGCCACCGTAGTAGCCACGCGCGTGAGTTATAAATAGAACAGCGGGTGTGAATCGATTCAACATTTCAACAACCAAATCGATTTTTCATGTTAAATACGTGAATCGAAATGTAGGTGATTACATTATTTCCATTAATTAATTCCCGTCTCGGCGACACGCGTTCGCTGTGGATCCTGCGGAACTCGCTCCGCCGTAGCTTCTACGCCCTCGTCGTGATCGGGTCACGGTCAATCCACTGCTGGATGAAGTCCTCCTCACCACTCACCCCTCCAAGTATATAATCCACATCCACCGCGAATCGATTCAGGAATCGGCGCGCGGCCACTGAGGAATCTAAACCAATGCGCATCCATCCACGCCTGCTGAAGTGTTACAATTTACGCAACTTTTGAGTGCGATTTGTGATCGTCTCGTACCAGCTTTATTTGAACGTTCGCCCGTCGTCGCTGCTATGAATTCTAGGGACGATCGTCGGCGCGGAGTCGCCGTTGCCACCGGTAAAGTCTCACGCGGAGGAGTGTTCTCTGTGCGCGTCCGGTTCGTCTCCTTCATCCAGCAGTGGATCGTTGGGGGAAAAAAGTTTCGCAGCAACAACGACAACAAAAAGTGCCGGATTATAAGGCGCACTTTTCACCCGCTGTCATTTTGTGGGTGCGTCTTATAATCCGGTGCACGCGCGAGGGTGCGTCTTATAATCCGGTGCGCGATGGTGCGTCTTATAATCCGGTGCGCGATGGTGCGTCTTATAATCCGGTGCGCGATGGTGCGTCTTATAATCCGGTGCGCGATGGTGCGTCTTATAATCCGGTGCGCGAGGGTGCGTCTTATAATCCGGTGCATGCGCGCGAGGGCGCGTCTTATAATCCGGTGCGCGAGTGAGGGTGCGTCTTATAATCCGGTGCGCGGGCGAGGGTGCGTATTATAATCCGGTGCGCGAGGGTGCGTCTTATAATCCGGTGCGCGAGGGTGCGTCTTATAATCCGGTGCATGCGCGCGAGGGCGCGTCTCATAATCCGGTGTTTGTGTGAGGGTGCGTCAATACGATTCGGTATGTGTGTGCAACTTTACCGACACGGCACGAATATGACGCGGTTGGCACGCCGCATGCGCCTGATGATTGGTGAACACGTCCCCCCCTGCAGCATGCAGTGGCGTTCGGCGGCTAATCTCACTGACTGACCTGATGATGCTGCTGCTGGTGCTGCTCAGTACGTTCACAGTGACACACTGTGTGTACCTTGTGTGTGTGTAATTAAAATTGATAGTAAAATAGACGACGTTTCGGCGATAGAGAGATGGAGTGGAGAGATGTTGACTACCTCGCCTGGTATGCAGGAGGTCGTGGGTTCAATCCCCACTCTGACGCCTGCTGCTGCTGTATATTTGGAGTCGGCGTGTCTCTCTGCCCGTGATTTTTCTCCGTGTCCTCCGTTTTTTCTCCCTCCACTTTTAGAATCGACGACACACTTTTAGTATTTAGCGTCGATACATTGCCACATGACGACAATGCCGGCACTTCGTTGAGCAATCGTTCGTGGCCAGGCCGCTTCCCACCAAGAGCTGCAAATAGTTGCTCAGTGGGCGCTTAACCGGTAAAATGAAGAAATAAAGTTTATGATCCTAAAATGGGAAAAGTAAAAATAGGCGACGTTTCGCCAACAGCTAGAGAGAGGAGTGTAGAGATCTAAATTGAGTTGTGTCGCCTGTACGTTTCTGAACGCTCACCCACCGTCGACCCTCCTCCACGTGCCGAGAATTGGGGACCTCCAAGTGGGACATCCGCCAGACGGTGTGGGACTACATGGAGCTTCACGACTTGGCGAACTTCCCAAGGCCCGTGCACCACAGGATTCCAAACTTCAAGGTGCGTCGCCCGCTCAGCTCCGCACCCGGCAGCAACTCTGCCCTGGCCCCCCAGGAATTGGGAGTCCCCGTGGAAGCAGCGGTTTAAAGAATAGGTCAATAAATAGGTCAATATTTACATCATGAGACCTCCTTTGCCAGTGCTAAAATATGAGAAGAGGTTTTCCACTTTTTTCTGCCAACAAAACAGTTGTGTTAAGATGTTAAAACACCAAACTGAAACCTTTTACAAGGTATCATGTTACTGAATTAACCACAATACTTGTGGTCAGAATGCAAACTAAAAACGTACTCTGATAATGTATGTGGCATTGTCTTTGAAACTGATTGGTCCACACCAGAGACAGCTTTCTTTTGAACCTCGTCTCAAACGGTGTTAGACCAGAGGAGACTACCCATAGACTCAACACTACCCATAGACTAACACTGCCCATACATTAACACTACCCATAGACTAACACTACCCATAGATTAACACTACCCATAGACTCAATACTGAACCTCCGATTAGCAAGGTTGACTATGTACGGTGCGAAAGAAGTTCAACACACACACATATGGAATGTTTCACTCTAAAGTTAATAACCGCCTGTTGTTTTGCTGCCTTGCCCAAGCTTGGGAATTGGTGAACTTATAACATTTGAACTGATATACTTTATCAATCCTATACTCTTTGCTTCTTTCGGTAAAGTCACGTAGGTATAAAATAACATAAATTCTACGTATTTATTTGTAGTGATTTGCTGACCATTCATATACAAACATTTTTTGCATCGTTTGGTGTTGTAACGTTCTGACGCCGTGCCCCTTACTGGACTTCCGTGAAAAAAGAGCTTCGTAGCTCACCGGATTCCTCCAGGATAAACAAACATTCCGATCGCATTCACGACACCTCCGTGGACACGCCACGTGATGACGTCGCGACCCGCCAATACCCCGTTGTGAACTCGACGTCGAACTCTCTGGCCGTGACCTCTCCCTGGCTCAAACGAGCCAACGACGACGGCCGCGCCGACCGACCGGCCGGTGACCTCCCGTGTCAGGGGTCGACCGGCGCCTCGGCGCGTCTCGGCCTCCTCCCACAGTTTTCCGCCGCGACGATCGTGAAGGTGAACCCGGACAAACCGCAGGAGGGCGCGCGCTACCTCGCCCTGGAAGTGAGTGCGAAGAACGTCTCTCGCGTCTCGTGCCGTCGTCCCCCCCCCACTAACCACCCACCCACCCCGCCACCCACCTCGCCGACCGCCCCCCCCACTACCCCTCCGACGGCGCAGGGTTCGTATCGCGCCGCGGGAAGGATCAGAGACCTCGCGGCTTTCGCAGCGACCAGCGCCGTTAAAGTGGACCCCGATAAACCGCTAGAGGGCGTCCGACTCGCCGCCCTGGAGGTAACACGGCGATCCACATCCGGGGTGGACAACTCGGTATAGAGGGGGCGCCGCCGCAGTGGCTAGGAGATGTCGACTACCTCGCCTGGTGTGCAGGAGGGGTCGTGGGTTCGATCGCGACCCTGACGCCTGCGGCTGCTGTATATTTGGACTTTGTGCCTCTCTGTCTCATCATCACGGTGGCTAGGAGATGTTGACTACCTCGCCTGGTGTGCAGGAGGGGTCGTGGGTTCGATCGCGACCCTGACGCCTGCGGCTGCTGTATATTTGGACTTTGTGCCTCTCTGTCTCATCATCACGGTGGCTAGGAGATGTTGACTACCTCGCCTGGTGTGCAGGAGGGGTCGTGGGTTCGATCGCGACCCTGACGCCTGCGGCTGCTGTATATTTGGACTTTGTGTCTCTCTCTCTCTCTCATCATCACGGTGGCTAGGAGATGTTGACTACCTCGCCTGGTATGCAGGAGGTCATGGGTTCGATCGCGACCCTGACGCCTGCTACTGCTGCTGCTGTATATTTGGAGTTTGTGTGCTTCGAGTGTATTTGGCTGCTATAAATCTCCACGTGATGATAAGGCCACTTCGTTGCGCGACCATTTACGATGCCCAGGGTCGCTTCTGCAAAAGAGCTACACAGCTCAGTGGGGCCTTAACTGGCAAAGTAAAACATAGTTTGAGTTGACAAATGGGACCTTTTGTGTCAGTATAAATTGCCCTGAGAGTGGCGTTGCCTTTGTGTTGTTCGCCTTTTGTGCGTCCTCTGGTCTAACACCGGTTTGAGACTAGGCTCTAAAGAAAGCTGTCTCTGGTGTGGACCAATCAGTTTCAAAGACAATGCATCATCACAGACTACCAGAGCATGTTTGCATGTTCACCACAAGTACCGTGTGCGGTTAATGCAGACAGGATTCCTCGCAAAACGTTTCTGTTTGGTGTTTTAACATCTTAACGCCACTTCAATTCACGTGACTTCAACTCGCATGGGCCAACGGCCGCATGAGGCCTACCACATCCGAACGGCCGACGGACAGTATTTACACGGGAACTGCAAGGGACGTAGCTGCACTGATTGGGCATTCGAATCGACGCAAAACTATCCAGGAAAAGGCAAAAGATGTGGTTTGGGCGAATTCTCAGCGATTAAATCTCGTTGAAGGAAGCTCTGTGGAAGGGTTTAGGGAAAAAGGCAGTCGCAGATTTGGCTTGATGACTTGAAGTGAAGGACAGATTATCGATCTGTCCATTCTGCCTGACTTTGTTCATCCGTCATTGCCTCCTTTTTCCGATTTTAAAAAATCCCATTTGCTAAACCCTCGTTTGGTGAAAGCCTTTCCGCCTTGCTGCTCCCAAGTGTCTGGAATGCTCTTGCCGCTCATCTCCAGCGCGGTTCCCTCCCTTCACTCCCCCTCTTTGTGTTCCAAATAGCCCCAAAAACACGGAGCTCGCTTGCACCTGTGCCTACATTTCTACTGGGGCCTCTTCCTCCCAAATGTTTACACTTCCTGTTTACTTCCACATGAGACAAAAAAATTATATCGCTTACTCTTTCACCTGTACCAAACCTTTTCTCCTAGCACCTCTTCTTGCTTCCTTACAATATTTGCACAATTTTTGTTTCCGTTCGTGTACTTACGAACCGGTAAATACCTTGTTGATTTTTTCGTGCAACGCTCCTCTTGGACCCTGCACTTTCGATGTTTTTGGCTTTGTTGTTGTTGTTGTTGTTGCCGCTGCTGCTGCTGGGCTCACGCAGCACCACAGATCTCCCGTGTAAAATAGCCGGGGCCTAGCGGCCACACGGAACCACCACTATCCCCGCAACAAAAATGGGCGTCACTGTGGCTAGGAGATGTTAAACTACCTCGCCTGGTATACAGGAAGTTGTGGGCTTGATCCCAACCCTGACGCCTGCTGGTGTATATTTGGAGTTTGCATGTTTACTCACCCCTTTGGTCACGTGGATTTTTCTCCGGGTCCTCCGGTTTTTCCCTCCACATTTAGAAAACATGCGTTTAGAGTATTTGGCTGCTATAAATGTCAATATGATAAGCCACTTGGTTGAGCTATCATTTGCGGCCAGGTCACTTCTGAAAAAGTAATACGTAGCTCAGTTGGCCTTAAAATAAAATGTTTTTTTTTTTAAAACAAAAAATAAACTCAACACTCGTTCTGCTTTCTTCCCCCCCTCTCCCCAGGCACGGAAGACCCTGCTGGTTCCCACGCCGAGACTCCGATCCGGGCTGTTCAACCGGATTGTTCCGCCCGCCGGTGCCTCCAAGGCCGACCTGCACCGGTGTGCCACCTCGCAGGCACGGAGCCGGCGCTTGCGCACTGACCAATCAGGCAGCAACAGCAGCAGGCAACAGCGGCAGGCAACGGCAGGCAACGGCAGCAGGCAGCAGCGGCAGGCACATCCACTGCACCGGCAATGCCGCAGGCATCCAGGGGTTAAAAAAATGCCCCTCTTGTGCCGAGGTAGCCAGACGGCTCGGAGGTCACAGACACTGAGCCAGCGCCGTTGGACATCCGGTTTCCAATCTCAGTGTTTTTAGCTGTCCCCTGACCTCCGATTAGAACGGCTGGCTATGTACGGTGCGAAAGAAGTGCAACACACGTGCGTGCATTAATCCGAATCCACAAGTGTAGTGAGTTAATGGTCTCAGCCTGGTCACGAAAAACTCCCACAGAGACCAATAGATTTATATAGAGAACCAGTGACTCGCATATAGACCCGTAGGTTCACATAGAGACTCATAGATTTGCATGCACATTCATAGGCTCACATCGACGAGGTCGTGATGAAACCTGGTTCTCGAGAGCAGTGAGTTTTTGGTCTCAGCCCAATTTTATTTTGCACTTGATTTGGCGAAAAAAATCCCAGCTTTGAGAATTAAAACAATGTTTGCCTGACGATCGTGCGAAATGTCATTGCACAGTTTGTGGGAAGGCGTGCCCTCCGGCGTGTAAAATAATTAATGTCACTTGAAGAAAGGGGCCTCAGCGGTAGCTAGGTCGGTGATATTCGCTTCTGCGGGCCGAAGGGTCGCACTGCTCTGCGAGGTCGTCAGTGGGCCGTTCGCCCCGTCGCACGACGCCGAGAGCGGATGGATTTTGAATCGACGGATCGAAACATCGAGGCCTACTGCGTGTACGTTTGAACGTCTTTCGCACCGTACGTAGCCAGCCATGCCAATCGGAGGTGGGAGGGAAGGACGACAAACTAAACACAAAAAAGCAGTTCTGAAGAACTGCGTTTGTCAATCTCAACGATGATTTAAAAGTGCATAGCTCCGGTGGCTTCCTTAATATCGGAAGTAAGAGCGCCTTCCAGACGGCCGCAGAAGCGCATCTGAGAGCGCCGCGCGATGATGCGGCGACCACCGTCTTTGTTCGACGGCCGAGCCCAAAAGCCGCCGCCGCTGCTGGGAGGATGACCACCGGAGTTTGCGTGGCGGCGGTTTGCACGAGGACGCCTCTCCTCTCCTTCCACGGTGCCCTGACCCCTGACCCTTTGACCCCCGCTCCCACCTGCGACCCCTCGCAGGGCGTGCGCGAGTTCAGCGTGCCGCTCGGGCTGGACGCCGGCATGCACGTGGACCTCGTGGTGGTCGGCTCCGTGGCCGTGTCTGAGAGAGGTAGGAGCTGGGCTCGTAACTCGTGCGCCCCGCAGCAGCCTGCGTCCATTGGTTCATATCCTGGTTTGGCGGTCGATTCTCGGACCGTCTCCTCTCCGGCGTCGATAAAAATGAGCGCCACTGAGCGGGGAGTCAGCGGTGGTTGTCACGGATCTGGGGTCACGGCTGGTCAGCCCGCGGACCGATTCGCCTTCACGTATTCTGCAGACTCCGTGGATCCGCGGTCGATCCTAGATTCACACAGCCGTACGGGGTCGTCTTCCCCGGCAGCCGATCGGCAGCCGATTGGCCACCGTCGGAGTGATGACGTCGCCCCTAGCAACCGTAGGCCTCGTGGTCTCCTTCTGTTCGTGTGCCCCCCCCATCCCCAAGTACAGAAGTTCCCCGTAAAATGTGGCAGGCTGTGATTTTAGCAAGATCCGAAATGACGCGAGAGAGAGAGAACGGAGAGAACGTCAAGGGAGATGCGGGTGTCCTCCTGGGTCGGCAACGCAGCGGTTGCTAGGGGTGACGTCATCACTCCCACGGGCGGCCAATCAGCTGCCAGGGAGACGACCCCATACGGCTGTGTGAATCTAGAATCTAGAATCGACTGCGAATCCCACCGAGTCTGGAGAATACGCGAAGGGCAATCGGTTCCGGTCCGCCCCGCGTGCCCGCAGGATGGCGGATCGGGAAGGGCGAGGGCTTTGCGGACATGGAGTTCGCCATGATGGCGTGCACGGGCGCTGTGGATGACGCCACGGTAGTGGTGACCTGCGTTCACGACTGCCAGGTCCTACGCGCACACGCACACGCACACGTGTACATCTTGGGTAGCCACTGGAGCTGTGCACTTTTAAATCTAAATTGAGAACTCGTTTGATTTTGGCGTTGTCCTTTCCCCCCCCCCCGCACCTCCGATTGGCACAGTTGGCTGCGTACGGTGCGAAAGAAGTTCAACGCGCATGCTGCACATAGACTAACACTGCCCATAGACGCAACACCGCACCTGCCATGAGCATGATTGGCTTCGTAGAGTGCGAAAGCAGTTCAACGTATACACAACAAGATGCACAAACGAGGCAAAGATCCCCCTTGTAGTCAAAACAGACATTTCGGGGGCCAGTTCTGTTTGCGATCAGCACACGGGGTAAATCCCATCTCTGGGAACGGAAGTCTGTTGAGCGGTCGTGCGATGAATATTACTCTGCAGCAGGGCAGGTAGTGAAGTTGCACCCCCTCTAGCAGTGCAACTTGAAGCAACCTCGGAAGTAGTTCTGCCGACCATTCTCGGTCGCACGTAAGGGCCACAGAATTCCATCTTGTGGCGTGGCGCACGATCGGAATAATCCCGGGGGTGGCGGGGGTAACATTCCCGTCACCGGCGGTGACGCAGGTGGTGGACATCCCGGAGGAGCTGGTGGAAACTCACGACCTGAAGGTTGACTACATCCTCACCCCGACGCGCGTCATCAGAACCAACTGCAGCACGCCCAAGCCTCGTGCAATCATCTGGTCCAAGGTCAGCCGGCGACCTTTTTCTATTTGTGTCGATGTGGTTTAGGGGTGGCGAGATGTTAACTACCTCGCCTGGTATGCGGGAGGTCGTGGGTTCCATCCCGACCCTGACGCCTGCTGCTGTATACTTGGAGCCTGCGTCTCTCTCTCATCATCATCATCACGGTGGCTAGGAGATGTTGACTACCTCGCTTGGTATCCAGGCGACCACGGGGAGAGAGAGAGAGAGAGAGACGCACACTCCAAATATACAGCAGCAGCAGGTGTCAGGGTCGAGATCGAACGCACGACCCCCTGCGTACCGGACGAGGTAGTCAACATCTCCTAGCCACCGTGATGATGATGAGAGAGCGACACAGACCCCCTGCGTACCGGACGAGGTAGTCAACATCTCCTAGCCACCGTGATGATGATGATGATGAGAGAGAGACACAGACCTCCTGCGTACCGGACGAGGTAGTCAACATCTCCTAGCCACCGTGGCTTGTGTCGATCCTCTCAATGTTGATGTAGATCGACCGCGAGCTTCTGACCCGGATCCCCATCCTGAACACTCTGCGGGCCCGGGAAGAGAGACTGGGCCGGGACGTGTCGCTGAAGGACGCTCCCAGCCTTCACCGCGCCGCAGCCTCTGCCGGAACTCCGGGCGATCTTTCCGCTTCTCTCCACCGAGAAACTTTCGGCGTCGGCCCCGCCGGGACGGCGGCAGCGACCCGCGTGCGCCGGGGCGGTTTCGTTTCGGCAAGGGGGCGGCGTGGGGGGGGCGGGAGACACCAGGGAAGAGGAGGGGGAGGATGGGCGAGGCAGCCGATTGGTGGAGGAGGAAGTGGTTTCGCCGTGCCGGATCCGGCGAGGGGCCTGGGTGGTGGTGGGGGCGACGGGATGTAACCTTCCGGTACCCTCGGGGCTTTAATTTCTCACCGAAAATGTTCGGGGTCGCTGGTAGACTGGAGTCGGTGGAGCCGTGACTCGTCGTGCTGCAGCCCACCGCGGGAGGTGTAGACTTGACGTGGTGTGCCGGGCGTGGAAATATTTTAAGGGGGTCGCTAACTCGGCAAGATCCGGCTGTAGCGAAGCCCTGGTTAACCGGATCCTGAAAGCAGCGATCAGCAATGAGTGGATGATGATGATGATGATGATGCTGGGGGGTGTTTTCACTATTTGTGTCTTGTCGGGGAGAGCCGCACGTCAGGGGCCGCACTAACGGCCACCAGGGGCTGCCGCCAGTGGCCCGCGGGCCTTGTGCCTCATGGTCTCACGATGCATCTCACCCCTGCACACTCAACCGATGTCATTGTCTACAACATCACGCACGCACGCACGCATGTGTGCTGACATACACCGTGCACTTGTAAAGCATTCTGGGTAATAAAATATGGCTAACGTCAGTGGCGAGTTGATGTCTGATCTGGTCCTCCTCATAACATATGCTACAGGCCCTGCACTAGCTTAATCCGGCACTGCCGGGATGACTGACACGCCATCGTGGAGGCCTTTGGCAATCGCTTGACAAGGGACGCTATATTATAAATATTCAGATAATAACACTGTGCTGCGTACAGCACATGAAGTGTGTTCAAAGCCGGCCTGTGCGTGGTTCCCTTCGTACAGAAATAAAACTTTGGTTTCCGATTTTTATTGCCAAATTATCCTTTTCGTTGTTGTCGATGTTGTCGACAATGTCGATGTTGTCAACACATCTCCATGTCCGGTGCCACTCGTGGGGCAAATCGCCAAGCCGACTCTCCCGATTTTAGGCCCCTTTCGTGAAAATGCGAAGCGTGGCCCTTTCTTAACCCTCACCCGTTCCGAGGCGTCTGCAAGTGACGGGTGGGTGGCGTGTCCCCGTTCATCGCCGAACCTCGGAACGTGCGAACGGCTCGGCGTTACTTTTTATTTAGAGAGGCATAGCAGCGGCACCGTCGGTTTTAACGGCGCCGTTGCCGCCGCACTCTTACCAGAGCTGGCGCCAAACTGTGGCACGCGCAGCCCTCCCGGGTGGCCCTGTGGGAGCCTCGGTGCCGTGTACGTCATCGGAATGGAAGCGGAAGAAAAACTGATGGACACGTACGTCATCGGAACGTAGCCAACCGTACTGATTGAAGGTTCGGGGGAAGGACAAACTAAACGCAAAAAGCAGTTCTGAAGAAATGAGTTGATCAAATGCTGCCCAACGGTAAGTGTGAGAGATTGTGGCAGGGCATTGAGAAGTGGTGCAGTCGGATCTGCTGCGGTGGCACAGGTCGGTTCCGCGAGTCTGAGCGAAGCGGGCAAATACCAATTTTGTTTTGTGCTGGGCGAAGGGCTTCCCTCCATTCTCTTCTTTTCCTTAAGGCCTCTCCAGTAGTGTGCCGCGGTGACGAGATGTTAACTACCTCGCCGGGTATGCATGGGAGGTCGTGGGTTCAATCCCGGGTCTGACGCCTGTTGCTGCTTTATATTTGAAGTTTGCGTGTCTCTCTCCCCGTGGTCACGTGGATTTTTCTCCGGGTCCTCCGGTTTTTCCCTCCACATTGAGAAACGTGCATGTGGAGTATATGGCTGCTATACATTTCCACGTGATAAGCCACTTCATTGGGCTATCATTTGTGGTCGCCAGGTCGCGTCTGAAAAAAGCTACATAGCTCAGTGGGGGTGGCCTTACCTGTTAAAATAAAAAAAAATATCGTAAAAGCATTCAAATGTATTCGATTTCCGTCCAGCCAGCTGGACTGGGGCCTTCCACTGTTGCTTTGTGTTGGCACAGAGAATAACACTGCTGGACTGGGGCCTTCCACTGCTGCTTTGTGTTGGCACAGAGAATAACACAGCTGGACTGGGGCCTTCCACTGCTGCTTTGTGTTGGCACAGATAATAACACAGCTGGACTGGGGCCTTCTACTGTTGCTTTGTGTTGGCACAGAGAATAACACAACTGGACTGGGACTTTCCACTGCTGCTTTGTGTTGGCACAGAGAATAACACAGCTGGACTGGAGCCTTCCACTGTTGCTTTGTGTTGGCACAGAGAATAACACAGCTGGACTGGGGCCTTCCACTGCTGCTTTGTGTTGGCACAGAGAATAACACAGCTGGACTGGGACTTTCCACTGCTACTTTGTGTTGGCACAGAGAATAACACAGCTGGACTGGGGCCTTCCACTGTTGCTTTGTGTTGGCACAGAGAATAACACAGCTGGACTGGGACTTTCCACTGCTACTTTGTGTTGGCACAGAGAATAACACAGCTGGACTGGGGCCTTCCACTGTTGCTTTGTGTTGGCACAGAGAATAACACCAAACGTCTAAAAAGTAAATGTTGGACTCGAATTGTAAATGTGAGTTTACTCTCCAACACGCCGGTGTGCTGAATTAATCACGATTTGACATGTTCTGTTTACGTGACACTATTTATGCGTTCTAAGCTCAAAATAAACCACTCATGTATCAGAAAAAAAATTCACTCATTCCCATACCGGGAATTGAACCCGGGCCGCCTGGGTGAAAACCAGGAATCCTAACCACTAGACCATATGGGAGCTGTGTTCACGAAAGCGTCGCGTTTCATACTTAATGTCACAACCGGTCGGGCCAGCAGCTTAATGTGTTTACCCACGACATGCTGCTTGCATCAAGAGACGCATACAAAGCCAACAGCCTACAGGCTTCCCATATGGTCTAGTGGTTAGGATTCCTGGTTTTCACCCAGGCGGCCCGGGTTCAATTCCCGGTATGGGAATGATTATTTTTACTCCGTAATTTTGTTTAAACATTTTTTTTTTAACCAATGGATTCTACTGCGCCACATGTGTTAAGGAGAAATGTGTGGCATACGCCAGCCCAACGTGTTATCGTTGTTCAGTGTATACAGTCCATGTAACCATCATCATCTTGAACCAGAATATCAGAATCAGAAAGGGTTTTTTTATTCGCCATGAAGGTTCGCACAGACAAGGAATTTACTTTGGCAGGAAGGTGCATACATTCAACATATAGTAATCTTAAATCTAAAATAAGTGGTATACAAGTCTAACTAACTATATATTGATTTTATAACGTTCTTATCCCGTGCCCCTACTGGAAATCTTTGAAAAAGAGCTTTATAAGCTCATCGGATTCCTCCTGCAGTCTAAATAATAAATATTCTGATTCTGATAACGTACAGTCCCTATTGTCAAGCCACTGCTGGATGGAGGCCTCCCCATGCCCTGCAGGGTCATTGGGGTTGCTTGACCATACTTCACCACGCTGGTCAGTACGGATTAGTGAATGGGGGAAGAGCACGGGGGGGGGGGGGGTACAGGAGGAGTTTATAAATTGAAAACTCATTTCTTGAGAACTTATTTTTGTGGTCAGTTTTTTGCCATTCCCCCGCAACTCCGATTGACGCGGTTTGCTTTGTACGGTGCTAAAGAAGTTCAACATACGTACCCACGGCTGTCAACACTTTATCAGTGCCCTTACCTTGTTACAGACCAACTCAGACCTCATTGGTCACCCCGTGCCCCTTATACTACATCTCAACGTTCATCCTACAAAGTCCAATCACAGGGGAGAGACACAGACAAATGTTTTATATTGGTTGCCCGTATTGAAACGGCTGTACGCCGTATGGACCTGGGAACTCAATTTCCCTGCACAAGAATACGGGATAAACCGTGTGGGTTGACAGCTGTGCGTACGTACACCGCACCTCCGATTAGCACGGCTGGCTACGTACGGTGCGAAAGAAATTCAAAAACAGCGGGCGGGCGGGCGGGCTACCGGGACCGTTTCGCACATCGCTCCTGGCCAATGGGGTCGCAGCCACGGCCGAGGAATGGAACTCGGGGTCCGGGTGCGTCGGTGCTCTTCAGAGTCCAGTCGACGGTGAAGACGAGGGTGTCCAGCGAGGCCGTAGCCATGGAGTCAACATGGGGGGGGAGGGGGTGTGTACCCCCCAATATATATAATTACGGCCTTGGTGTGCAGCGACAACTCGACGTTCGTCCACCTGACGTTCGTCCACTTCGCTCCTTCGGCCGTTCTCAACCACAACCACATTTCTAATTTCGTCCACGCGGGTTTTCCTCTTTCGTCCGATTTTATCCCAAACCGTCCAAGACCTTCGCGCCACGCGCCGTCCTTTTCGTTCAGTCTTTGAACGGAAGTCGTTCAGTGAGCATCTCTTATATTTGTGTTTATTCACATGTTATGAATGTTGTATTGCTAGAGATTAGCATGTCAATGTGCAATTTGCATGTAAATGTAGATAGCCTGATAAACATCACGACTACGGTGCTGAAGATGCGGCTATTGCATTGCTGGAGATGAGAGATTAGCATGTCAATGTGGGACGGCCTCGAGATGCAGCGGCTCTGTCAATGTCAAGTGTCAAGAGGCGCCACCTCGTGCGCCCACGAGGTGGCGTTGTACAATGGCCGCCTCTTCAGCACCGTAGTCGTGAGGTTTCTCAGGCTCTCCGATCTTACATTCACATGCAAATTACATCTCTAGCCCCGCCCACTTACCCCTTGGGTTGCCCCCAGCTCTCCCGCTATATTTCTCCTGCCTCAGCTGTTCGCCTGCTGTATTTATTCACCTGAAGACGATTGCTCGTGTTGCGATCGAAACGTCGTGATTTTTGTATTTATTATTTTTCTCTCTACGTGACTTTACCGAAAGACCCATAGAGTTTTGAATTCCTGCAGTCACGAAAGCTTTAAGTCGAGATCGATGTGTTATATAGTTACGGTAGTTATTTGCATGTTCGTTTTTCACTGGACAAAACAAATCTGCAAGCTAAATAATAGGCTCTGCTTTGACATTCGTCCATTTTTTGACATTCGTCCATGCTCTCGTCCCTAACCAGACGAAAAGTGCGAAGTGTTCCTGTAAATTGTTTCTCTGCAGGCTGTCTCCGACTGCCTTGATTCACTGGAGCTGCAATCCCATTTCAGGGCTCATTCCGCTGCGCGTGGCGACTTAAACCGTTGCGCTAAGGAGCCCGGTGGTTGGAAAACCACGTCACAATGCACGCGAATGCGTACATACGTACGTACACACGTTACGTCACAATGCACGTGTGTACGTACGTACACACGTTACGTCACAATGCACGTGTTTACGTACATACGTACATACACACGTTACGTCACAATGCACGTGAATGCGTACATATGTAGGGGTGCTATGGGGAATAAACACATGACACGGGAAGGTGTGGTTCACCCACACCTTGGTGGCTACAACAACGTCCGCTAAGGCTCCAGTGGGTATAAAGTGCGGGGAGCCAGGGAGCTCGGGGCAGAGTGTGGGGCCCGAGGCTGAAGCAACCAGTGAAGAAAGAAGGCCAGCTAGGTGAGACCCTGGAACTCCTGTGACCGCTGCCCTTTTCAGGGCCGGCACCGCAAGCCAGTGGTGCGGCCCCA